AGAAAACACTTATTGTGTGGTATATAATACATGTTTATGTTGGAAATAATATTGGTCCGAATAGGAAGGAAGTTTCTTATTATTTTTAGACATTTTTCAGTTAATTTTATTGACTGAGAGCAGCATGTCTGAAAAGGAACTCCCTTATCAGAACAGATTTAATAATACTTGAGATTATTTTCTTACATTTTTAATAGTAATTATTTGATAATAAACATCTAAGAGTTATAAATTGAACAAATTTAATTGAAAATAATATCAAGGATTTTTTATTAAATGTACTTTTTTAATTATTTAAAATAAAATGAAGAAAAGAATTTTTCTTTGATTACGTTGCTTGATATAAAATGAATGACATTCAATATTAATATATGATTTAATAACGGTTTATTCGTTTTTGAAATTTTTCATAGTACCCACATCATAGCATGTGGTCTGTTAAAAAATTATCATTACATTTTTTGAGAAGAAAAAATGAAAGAATACAAATGAAAAAAATATTATACAAAATTAAATTAATGTTCAATGCATCATCAACGAATCATTATTAATATTTTTAAACCCTACATTAGCTACTATAGTAATAAATAGTGTTTATTAAGCCTATATAGTAAAAGTAAAGTTGTTAAAGAGTATTTTAACACATAAATAAAATTTTTAGGTCGTCTAATTTTAATTGTATCAATAAAATGATTGACTAAGTAAACGAAATTAGCCTCAAAAGGGGAAAAAATAAATAATCAGGCAGAAGAAATCTTGAGAAATTTATATTAATGTCCTGAGAGCGACACATTGACGTATTGTACACCGGTAAAATACAGTCACATTTATATTCCCTTATTTGGCCAAATCAAAAGATACCATCACCATACTTGGCGAATTGCTCAACGTTTTAAATGACTAACGTTGTAATGTCATTGGTTATACCAATGCAATCAGTTGCTCCGATCTACCTTCACTCAAAGCGTCAGGATTTGCGAATCACTCATGGATTATTCGTCACGTCTCAACAACACTGATACAGTGTGGGGAATTTAAAAAGTATGTCCACTGCCAATGACCAAACTCCTTTTTATCTTCAATTGTATAATTCTACAGAAGAAGATTAGATTTATTGATGCTTCAACACGTGAATGTGCATAGAGATTTTGAATTTCGAGATAGGAATTATGAAAAACTACATACAAAAAATAGAGGCTTAGAAAGTGAGAGACAGCAGTATCATACTAAAAAAAAAACTACATTTCCTTGATATTTTAAAGAAAATTTCACAGAAAATATTTTACTCGTGGAATTGATGAATTAATATTGCAAATAAAAACATTAATCACTAGTGTTTAGATTGAAAGATGAATGACTTATATCACTTAAAATGGAAATAAAAGACAGGTAATTAATTGAAATCCTGATATAGGTTTTTCTTGGTAGGTCGTAGATAAATAATTCATTATTTAGCTTATCTGAAAACTTTTAAAAATCTAATCCATTTTTTCACTTTCATCTGACTCCAAACTCCAAATAATACTTTCCATTTTTACTACTACAACCGTTAAAATAAACTATTACAGTAAATCTTCAAAGCTTTAAACGATCAAAAAAATCTCAGACGTCCATGGACTAAAAAAAAAATAGCAGACTTCAATGAAACGAATGCGCTTGTTAGATTTTACATATTGCTTTCTTTAGAAAACCTTCCCATTGTTCCACATATCAATCAACTAATGGTCTCAGATAAACAAAACACTCCCGTAGGAAGTGCAATTTGCTGTTATTTCGGTAAAATGAATAAACTCATAGTGGATGAGAGATGTTGAAGGCCGTGAGAAGTTGCAAATGCGTGAGGGACAACTACCGAAAACAGGATGTCCGTTTAGCCACGTCGATCACTCAAACGCAACTGAAAATTCATGTCCTGCGTATTAAAGTATTAAGTGTGTGAGAAAGAGCAAAAAATAAAGAAAGACAAGAACATGATTCAATTGATATGATATTAGTGTGTGTGTGTGCAGAAGACGCACAAGTTGATGACGTAATATGGACGTAAACGAAGGCGTATTCGTCAACTGCTACTTTATAAGGAGTATGTACCTCTTCAATATAATATCTGTATAATAAACTCCTACTTATTATAACTCAAAGTCTCATAGCTTTCATATTTTCTTTAAATGATCTTTATCAATATCAACACTCATAAATAATTGATAAATAAATCGTCCTAATGTCTGACACTTGTTTATACTTGGTGAGTAATATGACCACCAGGTTTCGTTTGGCATTTTTTTTTCAAAACATGATTTACATCATGCTCCTTATTTTGAAACAATGTGGTGTTGATCAGTTATTCTTCATGTGGGCGCTACTTTGTATATTACGAAAGGGCGATGAATGTCTCTCTTTCTTGGCATGGATTGACTACAAGTTCGAAAACTTTAGTAGGCGTTAAACCTGTTTTTCAGTAGTTCGATTTAAATTATCATTTTCTTAGTAAGAACAAAAATCAACTGTAATATGTACTTATTGATATAGAGTGTACATTTAACCTTATACACACGAATATTTATTCCAAATATTCCAGGTGATTTCTTTGGTGAATGTATTGAGTATAGTGTTGGATAAAAATAATCGAGATCTTGACTTTCTCAGGTAGATGATGTTTATATTGAAGGGAAAAATGTTTTTTAAAAGGTAATATTGAATAAAAGCAGCCCATAATAAGCATGTTTTACTTAATGGAGAATGATCATTTGAAGCCAATAAATTAATCAAGTGACTTGGAACACACGTTTATTAAAAGATATCGTAATATCAACTCTGTGAGATCATTCACTTACGATCTATGTAAAATGATCTACTTTCCACTTTATCAATTTATTTGTTATTGAACAATTACGTTAAATAAATGTACTTTGTGCAATTACTATAACGTGTTGTTGCTAATAGATGGATTCAGATCAAGTATTGAGTTTTATTGATAACAATTTTCCTACTATTGAAAGCTTTGATAAATTATTGATCTCAATCTATTTTACTCCAAATTGTTATTGAACGTTGATAAATAAAATATAACATCATTAACAATAAACAATAATAATAATAATATGGAGTAATAAAGGGAATGTTCAATGAAATTTTAATAAAACAATCTGGCTCTTGAAAAAATTTTTTGGACAAAAAAAATGCACAAAATGGAAACAAATATATGAAAATTTTCCAAGTACATCAGGTAAGCATGTGTTGACTATTTAGAAATGCACATGAGTCTACAATACATTTTAAAAAAGGTCAGAAAGACACGAAGGAGATACACCATATGGTGTACATTACTATTGGTCGTAGGATGTTTGAAAGCCTGGAATTCATTAACGTCAGCACCGAAAATTTGCTAGTGGACTCTGAGTGCATAAAAAACAGATGATATTTATGAATGCACGTTTGGTTTCCGTTGAGACAATGCCTGTGGTAAATTCTATGCAATGTTAATGAGAAGAAAAATATTTTTTGAAAAAACTCTTTTTCTTTTAAGGGAGATAAATATTTAATAAACAAAATTTTATAATAATATTTCACTTCGTGGCCCTGCTTTCTGTTTGTTGTAAAGTCACGAACTTGACGCTCTTGTCAACGTTTTTTTTTGTTTATGCTGTAATTTTATTATTACAGTGAAGAATATGTTTAGTGAAGAAGAAACAAGGTGTAAAAGTGAAATAAACTCTTGAACACGAACATTCTGACTGCTCTTTAAGATAATGACGGGAGGCTGCACGACTTGAGGCACGTGCCTCATGCGATCCTCATCCTATCTTTTCGAGTCTTCAATTTTCAATTTTTCTTTATCACATCTTTTCTCACCTTCATTGCATTGATCTTATATCTGTAAACTTGACAACTTTACTTATTATGGATAATAATAATAATAATAACACCGGTCGAGTTGAATGGTTACCTCATTATTATCGATAAAGGTCATCGAAAGTACGGAGGTATTGAGAAAATGTTAATTTGCTAAACACCAAATAGAAAATTAATTTTAATATCTAACTCTAACGGAAATTGCGATAATATTTTGTCGGAAGTGACGCAGCCAATGAAAGTTTGTGAAAAAAATCAAAATGATAACAACACTTGGGTTATATCGTGGAAATCAAATTATCAGAAAGATAAAAATAATAATATTCCAATTTTTTAATTTTAATAAATTTTTTAAAATGTTTAATGACGAAAAATTATTTTCATTCTTCCAAGAAAATCGTAAAAACATCAATTAAAGATTTATTTACAACAGCAAAGGAATTAGAAATAAGATCAAATTCTGTTTATACACGCAAGTTCCTCGTAATGTTTGATAACATCAATAACTTAAATACGTATCAAAACAAGAAACGTCTCAATAAGAGGTCAAATCTTTACGAATAAAATTCGCACCACGAATAAAGATGATTGTAGATGAAATATTGTGTAACATAAACACAAACACAAAGAGCAAAGAAATGAAATTATTAAATCGCACAGAAGTATATTGGGTAAATCGTAAAGATTGAGTAAAAAAAAAATTATTTGATATGTTGATACACAAATCTAATTATAATATTATGCTAATGCATCAAGATGTAACGGTATCGACACGCATTCTAATTTTTCTTTTATTCTAATTAACTTGATGAACTCTGTTTTTATTAGAAAAATTTCTTATAGAATGATTTTTTTTAAAAAGAAAATAAATTAATACATTTCTTAGAAATACTGAGAAATTAATGAATGAATCGTTAAAAGTAGTAATGAATGGACTCCAATTTACGAAGAATTTACGTTTCTGAATCATCCGAAAAGAAATTTTGTTATCGCGATAAATTCGTATGCAATGACGTGTTTTGTGACAGTTCACACTAAATACATACAGTCATAACTTATAAACAATCCAAGGTATTGAACTGGTTCCATAAGAGAATTCTCAAATTTTTTTTACGAGAATTAAATTAAAAAAAACGATAAAAAATATTTACCATCCACGTCTGCTGCTGTCGCGATATTCAGCAACGGAAAAACCAAACATAGACTTCGTTTCTTGTTTGTACGATGTGTAGTGCCTTGTTTCAATATTAAATGCTTCTGTACTCCATAGTGTTAAATAAAATCCTAGCACAATTATGAGCAAGGAAAGCGCGCGAAAACAACATAACTCACTCATTTTGATTATTCGGCATGTAAAAACACTATCACTATTTTATTTATCGAACTTTATATCCGTTCTTGATTGCCTTTTTTTTTATGTTAAATGCATTATTTACATTTGAAATTAACACATAAACACAAGAGCGATAATAAATAAAATTAATATAAAAAGAATAAAAGAGCTTACGCACGACCAGAAAAACCCGACAAATAATCGTGCACGGTCGCGGACAGACTGAATAAACTATCCGAGCTACTATACGAAGCTCTCACGACTCCCACCCACCACCGTTTAAAGTTAGAGCTATTGCCACTGCACGACCATAACCAAACTCATACTCATATATAGCGGGTGTACAACTCTTAAGCATTATTTATCATCTTAAATGACTATTTATTTTTTTATCTTTTGTTACTGAACAACAAACAAAACATGAAGATGGTTGGAATGTGGTTTTTTCTTCTTTCGGAGAATTCTGTAGAGTAGTCGCAATATTGCATTGATATTTAACTTTTTTTAAAACCTTTTTCGATAATATTTTGCAATATAAATGCTACAAATATAATTCGTTAACTAAAAAGTAGATAAGTTTGTTTAAAACTCACCTTTTTCTCGGAATAAATAGTTCCCGGTTTTTTATACGCGACTTAGCTGTAGCTAGGATGCTATCTCGACGCACTAAAATATATTTAAGATATTATGTTTTACAACTTACATATAATTAAGTTTTATATGTCAAATAAAACTTTTTAATAATAGTAATAAATTCAATATGTTTATTTATATAATTTTTTCGTAAGTAATTACCTTTTAATGAAAAATTAATTGAAGATGTAGATGCCGGCTTTTTTCATAATGACGCTATTCATGATCACCAGGTGGCAGTAGCAGATGGATAGAGGGCGCCAGAATGCCGAAGTAGAGGATGGAGGGAGAAGGGGGTTACATTTAAAAATAATCGAGCATTCCCATTATGGGCAGCTAAAATAAAAATAAAAAAATATAATAACTGGGAATCATGCTGAGAATGGTTACATTGGATAGAATTGAATCACTGTTGCATGCCATGAGTGGTCAGAGACCACACTACAAAACATTAAATATTGTCAAGTATCATCTAATGGGTTTTAAATGCATTCTGTTACTCAGAATGTTGGCTTGCAAAACGTCTTGTCGCAGCTGCAGTCTATTGTTATGTAGAACAATTATATTATAAAAATTAAATATGAATTCTCAATAATTTAGAATATCATTTTAGGTGATACAAAGTACATTGATTTGTTTTAGTCGCTCATGAATTATTAGCTACATATCATGATACTACTTATGTATAAAACATCTCATCAACTAAAAGAATACTTTAGAGTGAAAGAATGTAATTAACTACCATAAATTTGATTACTTCGCACAAATTTTAGTAGAGATTAATTTCAAATAATTTAATAGCAATATATTGATAAAAATAGTATTGCTTTTAAAGAAATAAAAATTATTATAGATAAAATATCGTAGAATTTATTGAAAATAAATATTGATTCTATTACTATTTTACTTTAACAATATTTTTTTAAAAAATCAGACATGATGAATCAATTCACAAATATTTATTCTGTATCATATCCTTACCCGAGTAGCCTATTGTATTGTACCTTGAATGCAAGATAAGATCTGTCATTATCCGCATTAGTCAATAAGTTTAGAGTTTCACTGTTACTAATCAACTGACAAAAACAATACTCTTTCGTACTTGATAAACATTGAAACAGTAATAGTTAAAAAATAAATTAGAATAATAGGTTTCACGGTTTAAGTACTATTTAATTGTGAAAACTAATTAAATAGAAAGTAATTTGAAAAAACATTATTTTTGTAAATTATACTGATAAATTTTATTGTTAATTTGTCAATTTAATAATATTCTATAGATAAATAAATTCATAGAGAATATTTAACTGACTTATCAATAAAAATTAATTATTGACCGACTGCTTCATATTATCGTCATTAATTATTAATAATTTAAAAAATGAAAAATTTAATATAATGTATTTTACCCTTCAATTTCTCCTAAATAAATTTGTTTATCACTCGATCCAGAGCAAACTGAAACAACAAAAAAATATATTATATAGTCATTATGCCTGTTACTGTAATTATCAGTTCGATGATTAATATTTTACTCACTGATTGGTTCTTTAGGATGAAAATCGACATCATTAACAGATCCATTATGTCCAGGTAGTCGGTAAAGGACTCTTCTACTAGTCGTATCCCAAATATAATGAAAACGGTCAGATGATCCTGCGGAGACTTTACTACCATCTGGAGACCATGCACATCGTAAAAGATTTTTTTCAAAATTGTGTTGATGACCTGTTAGGATTTTGACACATCTTTCATATGGTGCGAAAGGTCTGACATCCCAGATTCTCAATGAATTATCCATAGCATTTGATAAAATATAAGATCCATCGGGACTAAGACTTAAACCAGTGATTGTGTCAGAATGGCCTTTTAATTTGTAAAGTACCGCATTTTTTCTCAAATCCCATATTTTTATATCATTATCTATACCTCCACTGATTATTTGTTCTGAGGTGTCATTAAAAGTAACTGTTGTGACCTTTTGAATCAAAAAAAAATTTTAATATTAAATATGTTAATATTCAACTATATTGAGATCGATCAATCAATCTTTACCTGATAGGTATTATTAAGAGTATTACATTGCCCTCGTTTTCGTGGATCCCATATTCTGATTGTACTATCATCACTTCCTGAGCATAATTGAGTTGGTCCTCTCCTAGCTCCAGATACAGAGTTAACAAATGATGCATGACCTTTCAATTTTTTTATTCTTGTTCCAGTTATTAAGTCCCATAAACCTATAGTCATATCTGTACTAGCTGTGTATAAGTGATTTCCATCAGGACTGAAATGTACTTCCATAATTGCTCCACTGTGTCCGGTTAATACACCGATATTTTCACATTCCCCATATACATTCCAGATAACTAGAAAATAAATAAACAATAATAATAATAATAATTTTATGATTAAAAATAATATTCAAAAGGATTAAATTTACTTACATATTTGTCTGTCAAACCCAGTAGATACAAGATATTGTCCTTCAGGATGAAATTCAACTGAAAAAATATCTCCTTGATGACCTTCGAGGAGCATAATAGGTGACATAAGAGATGAAGTTCTTGGTGGACCCTAAAATTAAACATTCAATAAATTTTATAACAATTTTCAGATGTTGTTAAAAAAAAAATTTTAGAGGTTATATTTACATTTTGTACTATAGCTTTTTCTCGACTGCTAAAAACTACTTCATTTTTAGTTCGTTTTGATGCTGGAACTAATGATAGGATATCATCTCCTTTCCTTTTATCCACTCCCGGCATTTTTAAATAGTTTTTATTATTTTAAACAACAAAACAAATTTATTGAAAAATTTACCGTATAATTATTACGTTCACTGCTATTCACAACTTAATGGCTGATTTTCATCAAAAATTTCATGCGTAGAGTAAACACATTGATCGATCATGCGCAGTATCAACTGAGGATTTATATTTTGTTGTAAATAGCCTTAACAAATATGAGTATATATGCATATTTATATGACTGAATGTAATGAGTATCAAAATTATTTTAGTTAGTGTATATATTTAGAAAAATAACGTTTTTCATTTATTTTTTATATGAAATAAATATAATTTCTTTAGTTGTTGTTAAAAAAATTTATATAAATGGTTGTGTGCAAATATTATCAACAAGGTGCTTGCAAATTTGGACAATATTGTCGATTTGACCATGTCAACAGCTTTGGTAATTTTTTATTTTCTAGCTTTAATTTAAGAATCAAATTATAAATAAACTTCAAATAATTTTTTTTATCATTATCTTTGTAGGTGCTCAAAGTGCTAAACCATATGGCGAAAGTAAAAGTATTGTGTAAGTATTTGAAATATAAAAATAGATGTATTTCAAAAGAATATCAAAACAGTTGAAATTTATTACGAAATTTTAGTTTGGGAGTGGCAGAAGAAATTCTTGCTGCAGAAAGAGGTGGACAATGGTTGCTTTCTTGCTTTGGTCCATTTAAGGAACAGCCATGCATTCCCGGAATGGAAGACATTTCTCCTGAAGAAGTTCGATGGGAGATGTATCAAGCTCAAAAAAATAATACGGTAGATCAAACTAAATTACAATTTCAACAATTATGTGAAGAAGCCAAAGTTAAGCGCGAAGCTTTGAAGAATCCTACACATGAGACTGCAGCTTTACTAGAAAAATTACAAAAAGGAAATCGAGATGGTACTTTTGGTACAAAATCAACTTTTTCTATGTCATCATCTGCATTGAGCAACAACACGACCAGTAATAATCCATTTAGCTCTAAACCATTTGGAACCTCCAATACATTTGGAGTCGGAAATTTTAATTCACCTACAACAAACACTTCTATGTCCATATTTGGAAGAAGTGCTACCAATAATTCCACTGTTTTTGGAGGTAAACCTGCTTTTGGTGGTACCGCAGTATTTGGTGGACAATCTCCAGGTACCTCTATTTTTGGTGATGCTTCTAAGCAAACAACTTCAATATTTGGTGGTGGACAAAATATGCCCACATTTGGATCAGCTGCCAAATCATCCTCCTTTTCAAGTTTCAGTAGTCCAAGTAATACCCAGTCAATTTTTAGTCAATCGACTAATGTTTTTTCAAACACTCAATCTACAACTTCAACATTTGGTAGCAATACTACAACATCAACTTCTCCATTTTCTAATCAAACTTCACAAACTAATCCACCGCCTTTTGGTATAACTAATCAAAACGTATTCGGTAATTCACCAGTCCAGCAGACTAATTCTATTTTTGGAGGATCACCATCTACAGTCAATCCTTCAGTGAGTTCTTCTTTAATTCTACGACAACCAAAGACATCATTTGGTGCTGCAACTCTTTTCAATTCATCACCACTATTTGGAACAACGACTCCAGCACCAACATTCGGTGGTCAACCTACTTTTAACACTCCAAGGAATATTTTTGGAACTAGCACAACGAATGCAACATTTGGATCTAATGTACAACCAGTCAATAGTTTTAGCGCCTTATCATCTTCTCAAAATATTTTTACCAGTACTCAAAATACTAGTTCACCTTTTGGTACTATTACATCAGTATCTAATGCAAATAATGGATTCGGATCTAATCAAGGAACTGGGACGGTATTTGCTAATGTTTTTAACACACCAACTACACCGGCACCACCTTTTTCACAACCTTCAGCTTTTGGATCTACAATAACAAGTCAAGCACCTTCCAATACTTTCGGAACTAATAGTTTTATAAATACTACTAATAATACGCTTATATCAAATAAACCTACTTCAACATTTGGCAGTGGTGATTCTAATAATCCATTTGCTTCGACAACAAATTCAATAACGATGAGTAATCCATTTATTTCATCGTCTCAACAAGTAGCCTTATGTACCGGCACTTCATCCACTCCAGGATTAGGAGGGATGAATTTTACTTGTAAAGTAGCAGAAAAAATAGACGAAAGTATTTATACTCCACATGATCAACTTACTGATGAAGAAAAACAAATATATTTATCAGATCAATTCACACTTGGAAAAATTCCTTTAAAACCCCCAAGTATTGAACTTCGATAAATTTTATGCTAGAACTTATTGATATAATATATGTACTAGAATAATTCAAAATATATATTTTTTTCAATCAATATTTTTTTTGCTGTGATACAATATGATTAATATTTTTAAGATACATGTAATTGTCCAAGTATTTTTAAACCTTTCTTTTTATCATAAGTCGATTCATTTAGATATAATTTATATGTAATTATAAATAATTCATTGTTGAAAAAATAGTAAAATAATTTGCAGATTAAATATAATAAATAAAGTCATTTTGTAAATAAATTTTTTTTTATTTTAGATTACCTAAAAAAAATCTATTAAACTTTTTGCCAATTTATAAAGTTCAACCAATCACACTGAGTGTGGACAACTGGAGTATACACTCTTTATTCAATAGGTTATGCGGGTATTGCATTCCTTCAATCAATTTTAGCACCGATTAATTTGGTTGATTGTCAAATAAATAGAGTATGTCAATCTTTGAAAAATGATATTGAATTAAAAATTAATTCGTTTACATCTAATAATCTAATTATTAACAACAAAACTGTTAAACAAATAAAATAACTCGATAGAAGTATTTAACCTAGCCTAAAAATTTGTTTACAATAATTATTTCAAAATTAATTTGAAACTATTCAATTTTAATATAACACGTACTTTTTATTTGTTCAAATTGTGTACTATTGAAACAAAAAGAATAAAATGTTGCTGTCACAGATGAAATCTTTATGTAATTTATTGTCAGGTAAGTATAAAATACATAAATAACTCTCAATATTATACATAGGAATTTGATTTTTAATTATTTAATATATTTTCAGTAAAACAATTGCTTAGCACTCCAGTAGCGGGATTGAAAAATTATCAACCACCACCACCAAAAAAAAGTTGGTATAAATTATATAAACCATATGATAAAATTAAATTTAATATTTAAAATTTATTTGCTAGATATTGAATACCCTGACAGAGTGAAGTTGAAACTTGTAGAAAAGGTACCTCAATATGGAACAATAAGACCATTTAAAATGCAAAAACGTTTACGATATATTAGAGGTCCAGAAACGGTGCACACTGAACTTCTTCATCAACAATTTGGTATTGTTGTACGTTATTTAATAATTCATTTATGCTTAATCCTTATTTATAAAAAATGAAAAACGATATAATAATTATTTTACCAATATTATTAGGCTATTCGAGGAGGTCGAATGAAACATGAGCACTTTGAAACAGCGAGGATGACTTTTGCGAAAAGATTTAAAAAAATAAAAAATCTTTTTGCATTTTGGCGAGTCGATCCTCCATGGCAACCTGTTACAAAAAAGGTATTATTGTTATGCTTGTCGATTGATAAATTTTTAATTAATGATAATGTAAATTAACATTTTATTCTAGGCACTTGGTCATAAAATGGGTGGAGGAAAATCACCTATTGATCATTATGTCACTCCTGTAAAAGCTGGCCGAATTATTTTAGAAGTTGGAGGAGATATTGAATACTATCAGGTACTACTCACTTTAAAGTGTTATTGTAATTAGTTAAAATTTTTCTCATTATATTCTTTGGTATTATTAAAGTATTATTTGAAATATATTAAATTCTCTAAAAATTTATAATGTATCATTTGAGGTGTTGAGTATTATAATGAAACTAATTTATTTTGTATAGGTCCAAAAAGTAATGGAAAACATAGCTATGAAAATGCCTTTCCCTGCTAAAGCAGTAACTTATGAAATGATGATGGCTGAACAAGAAGAAGAAGAGAGATTGGAAAGAGAAAATTTGAATCCTTACACTTGGAAATATATTATTCAAAATAATTTAGGTGGTTGTCATAACTGGATAACACCTACTGATAAACGTTATTTCAATAAGCATTTGTAATATTTAAAAAATTTAATTGTTTTTCTAATTAATAAAATATAAGTAATCAATTTATATGATTAAAATTTTTTACCAACCCTTTTCGACAAGTCTTTCATTAGACTGTATAATAAATAAGGAATATTTGAAGGGTAATAAAGAGAAACAATAAAAAATTAGTACAATTACAATATTTTTAAATATCTTTGCTGACGGTTTGGTGATAACAACAGGTAAATACAATGTATTGTACATTTAATAGGCGACAGTCATTTTAATACTTATTAGCATATTATTAATAATAAAAAATGATGATAACAACGGTAATAAGCCGTTATATATGATAACATAATATCCATTCTTGATATTTCAACATTCATTTGCGATAACTAATGTTACATCGAAGGAATGTTTTTATTTTTATTCTTTTATTATCATTTCAATAAACGATATAATTGTATAAAATTCTACCTCTTTATGCCGTTTATTATTTCTTCTAACCAATAATAATATTCAGATAAATCTGTTTTAGCTTATTATAAAATATTATACTAAATCGATTAATTATGACAAAAAATTTTATAAAATTAGGATGTATTTTTCAGAAATTGCGCTTAAATAAATGAATCTTATTTACGATATACATAGATAAGTAACTGACTGTTTTTTGTAACACATTTGTATAAATATTATTCATTTTTTTTTCATATCATACTGTTCCTTCAACGTTTTACAATTATGGATAATTTAAATGACAGTAATTATTGAAAATTAGAGTGAAATAGATTAAAAAATAAACGATGGTATTACGTAAAAAATGAAATAAATAATTGAAGAGGTATTAATGGATATATTTTTTCAACTATTGATTAGATATACTCGCAACTGGATGACTGCATTTACATGTGAGCGAGGAAGGCAAAGTGATACATTTTTGCAAGGTACCATAATAATTACAAATGAAAAATATATATATTCATATATAATATGCTATGTAACGAGGTAGGAAAAGAGTATTCCTAAGCAAAGATCTATGCAAACAAGGGCATAGAATGTCTCAAGTTGCAGTGCATAGATCTTTTTATTGACAAAATGGCAACATTTAGCATCCTAAAGCTGCTTATTAATATGAGATTCGAAAGTATTATCATGCGAGACATCAGGAAATGATTCAAATTATGTTTACAATAATACATTAACTCAGTAAAATAATTTCACAGTACCCTCATGTTTTTTCACTATGAACATTATAATTATTCTAATGTTATGTCATGGACTAGAGTATTTTGAGGGTAACAAAATTATGTTCAAGAATAGATGAAGTTCAATACTTCACTTACTTATCTTCATGTCATATTTCATTAATTATATCTACGGTTGTGTGTGTGTGTGATACTCTCGACATTGAATTTATTAGTTACGCACTTTACTTCTGTACTAATTGTTAACTACCATCTAAATGAATAACTTATATGATGCGTTAGATATCTTGCGTTTGACTTATATAATATATTATATAGATACTTATAAATATAATTAAAAGCCTTAAATAATTTTTTTCTCTCTCGTTCTCTCTCCGTTTACTGCTGGTAAATATTATCTTTTATATAGTTATTCATATTTAAGATTCTTTTTTTCGTCTTAATTGCGTCTTTAATATTAATAATGTCTTAAATACAGTTTATGTGATATACAATATTTTAATCGATCATAACACAGCAAGCTCTTTAAATATCAAGATAGCTTCTCTATTACTTTTTTTTTAAATAAAAAGTCATAAAACTCGAGTGCTCTGGAGCAAAAAATTATACTCAATGTGTAGACTTTTCACGTTTTTCAATCAAAAGAACATTTAATTGTTAAAAATTTACACACCAAGAATTATATATTTTTATATTATATGAGACGTTTGCATTTCAATTGAATGTGAATTATTTTTGTTCATATCTTATTTAACGTAAACTTTTTAAACAATTTTACATTTAGATACTGTCAGTGGAAAATTTTTATATCATATTGATTTGTATTCTTCATAACAAATGATCTTAATAGTCTTATGATATAGTGAATAAGTAGAATAGTAGAACAATCAATCGGCCATAACATTCATAAGCCACTAATAATACATTCGTATCTTATACTATTATAATATATATACAAAATCTTACAAAGTAAAATTTACAAACTTGATTATGCGCAGTCAATGTAATAAATATCTCCATCAACGTAACTCGGTATCCAAGTAACGTAGAGACAGCAGTATAATTTAATTTTATTAATCAAAAATAAATTATTCTATTTTGCATTAATTTTTTGTAATATCTGAAATACTCTTAAATTTATATTTTTACACACTTCTATTTTTACCAAAGTGAAGATTTGAAAAATAAAAATTAAAGCTTCTTCAATTATTATTTAATAAACTGAGTAAAAAAACTATTATGAGATATGAAAGATTGTATCGTGATATGATGAGAAAAACCCAGAGTGTCATGACACTCAACTGATTTCGATGAATAAATAAATAACTATAAGTGCTAATGTATTTGAAAAATTATTGACTAAGAGATCCCTGCGCTGATTTATCTATCATTTTGCACCACTTAAAAACGGAAGAACTTGAGATTCGATATTAACTGGTTAAATTTTTTGTTTTTATAGCAATCTACGTACAATAAGCCACCGAATTTTCTTTAACCCTGGACTGGTATCTTTTCATCAATCTCTTTGAATTATTATTTAATTTTAGAAGTAATATCTTGACTCGCATGTAGAAAAGATATATTATTCAAAGACAAGAATATTTCCGTTATAGTTTTTCTTTTATTCGTTACTCTATGCGTATTTAATTACTTCAGTCATCAAAATAATAATAATATTTATAAAAATTTAATTTTGTAATTGATTGTGCTATTGTCGTCATTATTGATACTCGTTATTTATACTACACATGTACAATTTCACTCAATTACCAAGTCAATTGATTAATTAATAATAAAAATAAAATTATTTCCATAATTATATTTACTTTGCTAGAATGATTAATTATATTTATCACTTTTATGAGTTGTCTTTTTCGACAAATAAATAAATAAATAAATAACTAAATTAAATAAATAGTAAACTGCTTGAATTAAAATAGCACTATTAATGGCAAAAACCTCTAACACTAGCTACTGGTATGACTTGGACGTAGACATCTGTAACTTCATCGATTCGATCGTGAATTTTATCAGTCTTTGATGAAGTCATTATTATAAACACCCTTCAAAGAAATTATGAAATCTAAACAATGATCATACTTTTCCAAAAAAAAATTTACTAATATAGTCAATAGAATAATAATAAAAAATAATAACAATAATAACAAAATAATTGATAATACAGTTGATAATAATAATAATATTTAGTCGCAGTACCAGTGAAGGGTTAAAACCTTTAATATATGCATTAATTTAAGTGCTGCTAGGAAGCTGACTAGAATACATTAGTGTTATATTATATTTGTATAATTTCTGGTGACTCATTTGAATACGTAGCTATACGTACACATTTCACGTCACACACGTTCTCACTTGGGAGTATCTTGAAACAATCCCGTTGACATATATTAATCAAGTTGATAATTGGTATCAATTTTGGAAGGACAAAATGTGTTTTTTTTTTATAAAGGAGAGGCTGCACGTCAATTAAATTATTGAGAATGTTAGATGGACTTAGCCCAATCTACCAAGTTGTGCAGCCGAGCTGTTACCTAGGCATTTGATTCTTTTAAGTTATCAAAATACTGCATAATTTGATTGTAATCCATTCCTAGATTAAGATCATCAAGTACAGCTGGCTCTTCAATATCTTGAGTTGATGAAGAAGAACTTGACGACGACGATGATGAGAACATTGGATTTCCAACTATTGTCGCCCTCTTTATTTCCCTTGCAGTCTTCGACTCTTTATTTGTTTTATTTTCTGGATTTCTAAGCTCTACAAATTTCTTTTCATTTTCCACAGCAATTGGTGATAACTTTTCTGTTTTTATATTATTTTTATTGTGATTTTTTGCCAAGTGGTGATGATGATGTTTTGCGTGTCGATGATTTCCATGATGATTACTACTGGACACTCTAACGTGTTTCTTTGGTGTTTCTGGGAGACGTACATTGACGCCAGTGTTTCGATGAGGTGGAACTGGTGGTTTGTAATCTTCATCATTATTATTGTTATTATTATTACTTATATTATTAGGATAATTATTATTATTGTAATTGTTATTATTATTGTTGTTGTTGCTGCTGCTATTATTATTATTGTTATTATTATTGTTATTATTAGTATTATTATTATTCATATTGTTGTCATTATTGTTATTATTTGTATTATCTATAGCTGAAAATCCGACAGATCTACCATGAGGTGGTAGAGGTGGAGGAACGTCTTTTGTGTTGTCATTTCTAAAACAGACATGAAGATTACGATGATTAAGACTTCATGAAGGAAATACGTAAACGTATTGTTGACTACACGCCCTACCCATAGTACGGAGATGAAGTATTTGCCACTGCTAACGCTTGGAATTTAGTTGAACTCCTTAACTGCTCAACAAAACTTTTTGGTGCTTTATCTCGCTTACAGTAAGTTGTGGTATCTATAGGAAACGAAGTTGGACGACTGGTTGTTGGCAGTTCAATGTGATTCGGATTATCAAAACTTGTTCCTAAGTCTATTGTAGCATCTTGCTCGATTTCACCAGCTAAAGGATTATTCGTCACACGTACCTGCAAAAACAAAAAAAAAAAAAATATATTCTTATTCCAAAACTTAATGAAATGCTCTTAAGTCAGTTATCACTAATGATTCGTAAAGATGGGCATCGAGCCAAAATACATTCAACAGTTTCAGCATTTTTATATCATTCGCCCAGGAATATCTGAAAGTTCGTTTACCTGTTGAGGAGCACAAGCAGCACGCTCAAGTGTCGCCCGTCCAAGCCATACCCAGTCGTGAGCATTGGTCGTTGATTCACGAGGCCTACGACTTGATGCTAGTTGGCTTGCTGCCGCAGCTTTAGCTCTGACTGCACCAAGCATTGGGAGACTTGTCATTGGTGAATCCGACGGATGTGGCTTGAATTTATTTGCGTATACAACACAAGATATCACAAAGACAACAATAGCAAAACAGAATGCTGCTAACAGCACGTACATCCCAATTTCTAATGGTGTCATGTGATTTCCATTATGATGGCGGATGCCAACACCGCCAACTCCACCTAAAATAAATAGGTAATCAATATCACATTTATTTGAATGTATCAATTATACAAACAGATTATTTACCAATGAGAATATCGTGCAGATCTGGAGCGACTTCGCGACCAGTTTTACGCTCCCTATGGTGGTGAGAGGAAATACCTTGAACTGTACCCCCACCGTCGTTTTGTACGAATTCGGGTCGATGCGGAAGGTCGCTCAACGCAAAATCGACCTCAACATTTGCCATTGCCGTAGCTAGTGCTGGTGATACATTATTTGTCCTTGAAGATCCTTTTGATCTCCTACCACCTCCTACTGGTCTACAAGCTTCTGCTAAGAAAAGGGTTACACGTAATAAGTCTCCATGACCCTCTCCAACTGCTATCACACGTGGATGATGTGAAGCAACCATTGGTGCGAATGCTACTACTTCGGGGTCAAGGCTCTCCACTGTCAGATGGTAGTCACTCACTGCTATTTCACGCAACGGAGTCTTTGTGCCATCAGAAAATTCTATTTCTATATCCAACAATCCCTCCTGAAACAGAATTAAATAAAATCAACATTTATTTTTGATCTGTTGCTAATCTCATTTGTGTATTATTTATTGATAACAGTTATGTTTATTGTATCTTTTTTTTTCTTTCAATTTAATGAGAACTTAGCAAAAGATAAATAAATCATTGTAATTATCAAAAGTGCAATTTGTCAAATGATTTTAGTCTCCAGGGCATCATTATCACACCTACACTGAAGTGTGTTAAAAAAATGAATACAGGCTTACAGTGTCACTAGACCAAAGTTACCAATAAAAATATATTTTTAGAATTTCTACATGGCTGTCACCTGTTAAAAAATAACTTTATCTTTTGTATTTATAAATAATACATATTTCAAATAGTAGTTGTGAAAAACTTATTTGAAATTGCCTTTTAACAACATTATTATTATTAGTATAATTTATGACCACTTCAAACTTTTAATCAAGCAACTTTATTCTCCAACTTTTCAACTAATTATCTGGCATAAAAGAATAAATATGTTGTTTTTAAATTATAATTTTTTTATTTAAAAATAACTAAATTCTTATCACAACTCATCTACTTTATCTGCAATTTTAAAAAATAAGAAATGAAAAACCTATTACTTTAAGAGCTATTGTTTTATTTTTATTTTTATATGACATACAAAAACAATGAAACGTTTGAAAAGTTTCTTCTTTTGGGCATTCTCCAGTTTTACTTTTGTTTGCTTTTTATTATCACTGAGAATACCTATAAGAATACTTTTTCTTCATACCTGTTAGACACAATGACTCTTACAAAGATTATTGTTCCTATTTAGTTTGTCTGCCTGTAGTAAACAGAAGTTATTTGCTATGAGCTGTTCTGTTATATTGGCAAAGTGAAATTCAAACAATGCTGTAAAATGACACTTTTTAAAAAATATTATTTTACTGTTAACACCTACACAAAATTAAACAGCAATCTCTATTATCTTCATTTAAAACGAATTTTTTATTTAAAGTTTTTTAAAAAAAATTCTGATATATCAGTTATGCTTTGACCCAATTTTTTTATCATAAAAAAAAATCGAATAACACAAAACAAATATTAAACATAACAGAAATTTTCATTAAAAATTTGTTTTTCTTATTTTTATTTGATTTATTTGTCAATTTTTGCAGCGAGGAAAGAAAATTAGTTTTGGAATTTTGCGACAGTAAGTTCTAATATTATCTACAAACAAAAAAATTTTATTTATTGTTTGCAAATAAATATTTATAAATCATAAATGTTCAACAACGTATTTTATAACATTGACATGTCTCATGTATTAGATTTTCTGAATGTGAAATAACACTAAGGGACAAGAATAAATATATTGTCAAAACATCGTCATTACTCATACATACCTCATGTTGCTATTTATTGGAATTTTTTTAGCTCTAAAATATAAAATACAACAAAGCAAGCAAAGAATGGTACAATTTATCAGACGTTTCAAGTTATCGAACTTTTCATTAATTAATAGTAGAAGCGTAGTGATCATAATAACATCGAATTGTTATCCTCTACTCATACATTTACAGAAATGGACTATTCAAATCTACTCCAATTAAAAACTTTAAATTTTTTGTTTATAAATAAACTAAATCCATTCTGTAGTTTAAAAATGATATTTTTATTTCTAACTTTCGTAATGAGGGTTCAAACTTATGTAACCCACACTTTGTAACTTTAGCCTATGATCTAGTGAGATTATAATGAGGGCCCAACCGAAATTATCATGTTATAAATTTGTCTATCTCTGTCTATATCTTTCCTTATCTCTTAACTTAAATAGAATTAAAATCTCTTTTTTAAAATCTCATTAACTTTTCACAAAATATTTATTTTAAATGTTTTATGTAATTAATGTTTTTATTTAATTAATTTTAATTAAAATTCTATTTAATACCACCAGCCAACAATCAACTACCACCTTAGTAAAATATTAAGAGTAAATAAAATGTTGGAAAAAAATGGTGAAATTTTTATAACGTATCACGTCTACAAGGAAAGACTAAAGGAAAATTTAGAAATAAATATGAAAAACTGAAATTTTTAATTTTTAATGATATCAAGATAGCTGTTGTAAAATTATACATTTAATTTAGAGTTCTAACAGTGAGATTTAATTAATAATTACTTTTGCTTTGCAAAGAATTGTAAATTTTACAGAAATTTTAAGAATATATTTTATTCATTGTGAAAAAAGATCTTGACTAAAATAATTCAAAAATAGTAACATTTATATCTCATTTTTATCTAACAGCGTATTTCACATTTATAAAATGTGATAGAAAATTTTCAAATTAATTTGTTTAGTTTTTGTAAAATATTACCTAGCTTCATGGAGGATATAAAAAAATAATCTATTGACTCGTGTAATTAAAGTAAAGTGTAAACATTGGAATTTCAATTACAAGCCGTATCAGGTCAAATTGATTGATGTTTTTATTAGTTATTCGGAACCCATTGAAATTTAATCAAATATTCTAATGATATTAGAAAAATGAAATGTTATTAATTAATTAAAGTCAAAAAATTTATTGAATAGGTTACAATTAATATACCAACCTGATATTGAGCAGTAAGTCTCCGAGTGACAGATGTCTCCGCAATGTATCCGTTTTCGATCGTTGAGTCAGGGCTAATGGTAAGTTGTAATCCAGACACAACTTTTACGGATAAGCGGGAAATAGATACTCGATCATTACCTACACGTATCTCCTTTGCTCCTATTACTCTACCCGTGATAGGAGATAGAACTTGAACTTCAGTTCGACCAACTCCACGCCCCTGAATAATTCGATCTTGAAGAAGAGATGCAATACGTGGGTCAGATACTCGAATAAGTCCGATCACTAAATCTGTAACTCTGAGCCATGTTCGACGATTTACAAAATAGGATTCTCGTCCTGAATCATGTCCTGCGGCTAAAAATCTTGCATGAACTTCAACAGGACTTTGTTGAAATCGTAGACGACAAGTAGACTGTAGTGAACTTCGGTCAATAGCATTGACAGTGTCCCATCTGTCGTCGACTCTAAATCTCTCAATATCGACGTCATCAATGTCCTCTTCATCTTCTTTATCATCCATTTCCGTCATACTTCTTTTCACTTTTTCAGGAGCATCACTAGCTTTGATACTTAGACTAGTCTGATTTAGACTTCTTTTATTCTTCGAAACTGAAAAACCCTCCGGTATTTTCCAACCTTTGATTTGGCTTAATCGTGAATCACTCACAGTTACTTCGAGTGGGAATTCAGGCATCCAGACTGTAAAACTTGCTAGTCCTATATATGTACCATATTTTACTAGCACTGATGCATTACTAGATCCTCTTATTTCAGATCCATCTACATAGACGCTGCTGCATGAAGAGGAAACCTAGATATGTCAAAGAAACCAGAAAATTAATTTTCTTAGTGAATAGATATTTTTCTTTAGTCTATTAAATATCATGCATCATCTGGCTATCAAGGGAACCACTTATACTATTTTTATTTAAAAATCCATTTTTTGATGTTTTGGGGAAGACTTTGTTTTCAATAAAAATAAAAATAATTTTCACGTACAAATACTCAATCAATTACCAATAAACACTTGCGTGAACCAAGTTTATTGAGCGTAAAAAAATATGTATATTTATTGTGAAGCACTTTGCTCCATTTGCAATTATCCAAATGACCACAACGATAATAATGGGAAAAAGTGGAAATCACTTCCATAATAATAACTATAAAAGCAAGAAAAATAATTCCTTGATTGTTATTACTAAAAAAAAGTATAGTGATCATGGATGATACGTCTGCCCTAGTTAAAATTTTTTTTCATGTAGAAGAGAACGTCAGAATTATTGTGCTGAACAAAAAACAGTAATATTGATTTTTACAGAAAATTAGCCAGAAGTGAAAAGTGTCATTTCTGCAAAATATAAAAGGTTTTTGTTTACGGCTTTTCATAATTTTTCCTACTGTTATTTTTTTGCCTACTAATTTTTTTTCAGTTCTTTACCTTTTATCTAAGTTCAACTGCAAAAATATACGTGACACATTATTCTTTATTTGTAGAGTAAAAAAATTGAATATTGAATTCTAAAAAATAACTATAAAATTTGTATAATTAATTATTATCCACCATTAAATAAGTCTTTTAAAATATACAGAATATTTAGGTCAAGCTTTTATGTTTGTAGCAATCTCTAGAAAACAAGACTAAAGATTGAATGTAACATGTATTGACAACATAGGAAATAAAATTCAAGAAGCAAATATTGACAGAAAATATTCATTTCTTAGCATGTCACCAGCAAAAAGACATCCTACAATGATTGGTAAATTTCCATTGCTTCTTTTTAAATCCATAAAACCATTCAAAAAATAGCTTTAAACGCTCAACTGTTTTGACGCGTAAATTGAAGAATTTTTGCGTAAGTGGTTCCCTCAAAACAATATTTTTCTCTTTTACCTTAAGAACACTTTCATCTTCAGAGTGGCATGATGATTGAAGTGTTACGTCAGCAACTGTTCCTGCTTGGCTGATAATAAAAACTTTCATTGTTTGAGACACTTGACGACCAGTTAATACTGCAGTATTCATCACTTCCCAGTTCTAAAAAAAAAAACAAAAAAATAAAAATATATTTTCCACTTATTAAACATTCTTAATGCCTCTTTTTTCGCACAAGAGTTATCTTAATAGCAATGTTTCTTAATCACAAATGGCTACGCTCACAAGAGTTCATTATGATATAATTGAACTTGATACTTCATGAGTGCAATTAAAACTGATCAATTGTAGATTTCAATCAAATTTTTATACAAGTCAAGAGATCAATTATACTAATTAATGAACATCACTTGAAGGTGTCGTTCATTTAATGGAAAAATATTTAGATAAAAAGTTAAATCCTGTAAATGAAAGGTTGTTAGACATCATTAATATACATCATACACTCTGTGGATAATTATAATTCCTTTCATATAATTGATAACTCTGTTTGTCAAGATTCCAACAAAAAAATTCAAACTAATAAAAAATGAATATCATTATTATCTTGAGTAATTTTATAAAATAAATATGCAAATACATTTTTTGTTGTTTTTTTTTTTTTTCAATTTCTTAGTCTTTCAATGAGAACAAACATAGAAATGCTGTTTGAATTGGTAAACCACTTAGATCAACGTTGCTAGCATATGTTAATAACGGAATGATTTGAGTAAATTTAGTAAACCAGTATAATTATCGAAAACTTTTAGAAAATAAATTGACTGAAAAAGGAATGAGTAAGAGGGAGTGAAGATAAAATATTTGTGAAATTACACTGCTAAATGGTGGGGAAATGTTCAAGATTTTAGATAATGAATTCCGCTCCACATCAAAGATCGTTGAAATATGTAAATTAATGATGTAATGTCTTTCTCCCTTTTTATTAAATAGAATATTTCGAATAATATTCAACTTTACATGCTAACTACGTAAACAGATTAACTGAGTACAACTCATTTATTTTTATTGTAATAATAATTTATTTGTTTAATTACTCAATAATCATATAGAAAATACCAACAGCTTTTTCATTATTAATTCAAAGAGAAATAAATTAGCATTTAATAATTATTTTTTATATTCCAAAGAAAATTCTATTGATAATATTTATTTAACTTTATTTAGTTAGATATATATATTCACATTAAAATGTATCCGATTAAATTTTATACCTTTTTACCTCGATTCTAATATCGATATTTTTTTGAAATTATATAAAAATATTCTTATGAAAAATATTCATAGCACATAAGACCTGATTAAAAGAGAACCCAGAATTTTTCTATGAATAAATTAAAAATAATAACACAGTACTTGTTGTTCGCCGAACGAATTACGTGAAGATAATTATCAACCTGTATTTAGGTTGATTAGATTAGATTAGATTTTAGATTTTAATCAATAGATATATGTATTATATGTGATAATATTCGAATATACACTCAAAGGATGCAAAATTTGATCATTAAAAAGTTACTTTAAACGAATTCTTTTTATGAATGTATCATTTCTAAAGGTAATGTTAACATAACTTTATTTTGATTTAGTTTGATCGAAAATGCACATTTTAATCCATCAATTACAGAATGAATAAAAAGTTTGAACGTTTCGAACATGCAATGTGATTATTTGTATGGTGAAACACGATACTAGAAACAGGTAACTATTCAAATTAAATGAATAGCATAGCGAGGAGCAGAATTGTGGGCAAATGTGTTGTTCAACGCAATTATAGTTGTCACCTTTACATGTATACACATCAACATAGATTCACAAGTGAATGAAACTTCATTAACTTCATGGGTTCTACAATTTGGTCAATTATGAAGAGGCAATGTCATTTTTAATTACTTTTTTCGAATAGTGTTTAATTACGATCTACAATATTCAGGTACTTTATCAACAATAGCATAAGGCAAAATTGAAATTATTGCAGAATAGGTCAAACATAAAAATTGAGTTAGTATTTGATGATATTTAAAAAATGGTTGAACTTTTTATTATTTAAAGATGAACTGATAGGTACATGATATAATAAAAGGATATATTTACTTTAGAAATTGGCAAAACGGCCTGTATGTCATCTTTTTGTATCTCCAGCCTTGCACCCAATTTTCTCCTCTCGACATGGTGATGATGATGATGCTGCTGTTGACGTTGCACCTGCATCTGTTCAGACATACCGGTACGGGTCTGCATCGTGGGATCGTTTTCATCTCCTTCCAAAGTATACCGAACACTCCACATGATCCGACCATCATCCCAGCTGTTATTGCCATCACCCTCTTCACTCGCTTCCAGTAACATCGTCATAATCTCTTCAGCAGAACTACCAGATAAAACATAAGATAGTCAGACATCAGAAACGCCAAGTGGAAGAAACTCTAAAGTTATTTTAACGACGTGAAACTTACGTATTAAATGCACGAGAAGAATTTTCTTTTCGTTTTATGATAAAAGTAGCTGCAGTATTTTTTGCATTAATGTCTGAACTTAAAATCCAATTCGAACTACTTGAAGATGCATCCAAGATTCTCACGCCTGATTTTGCTCGTGCTCTGCAATCAGATTATTTATATATTCAGTGTTGATTTTTATGTATTGATAAAAATTATTGTCATTGAATAAAAATTTAAAAATCATTGAATGAAAATCATGCATAAGGACTTGTTTATATATAGCTAATTTATTATATTTATATTGATGAAACATTAATATTTTGTATTAAATATGATTAAAGGTCTTGTATGACGCTGGCATTTTATAAAACTGTAATTAATTTAGACTCTTATTGTGATTGAATAAAAAATTGGCACACCTTAGAAAAGATATAAACTTATGCGTATATATATAGATTTTCAGGTCAATCAATAATAAGTCCTGAATTATTTCTTCTCTTATCTGCGTCATTCAATCTATTCAATTTATTTTCTACTTTGTTTCTAAGCTACTAATCAAGTCTCAAGAAATCTAGCCGAGTGAAAAGTCGTTATTGCTCATTTTTATTTCAATCACGTTTGTTCTATATTTTTATATACTCATTTAATTTTTTTTATTATCATGTAATTATGTTTAAATAATGTATTTATCTCATATTCCGTCTTAAAAAATGTATGCTGTATGATTAATGCATCCTAATTGAATGTTATAATAATCCGAAATATATTTGAATAATTTCAGAAATAATTTGCTATTTTAAAACAAAAAAAAAATATATAATATATATAATGAAGAATATAAATTTGTTACAAAAAGTTTTTTATAGATCTGCAAATTTAAAATCTTGAAAAGTTATCGGAGTTATTATATAATATTCTCGTTTCTACTCATAAATTTGAGAGATATTAATGTCTGAAATAATTTTATCGCATCTTATTTTTTTTCTATGTCTGAGAATATATTTTGATGAAAATAATTATTTTGAGTGAGATTCTTAAGAATATGTTGCAACTTTTCATTTAAAATTATTCGAAGATAATCAGGTGTAAAATTAAAATTTTTTTATTCTATCATCAATATACCTAAGTAATATAAAAAAAATTTGATATTCATTTTAAAAAGGTAAAAGAATTGCCTAAAAAAATGTTTATTCGATAAATTGTAAGTATATTTGATTATGTAATGCAAAATTGGAATAAAAATAGTTGGATAACATTATCATTTTTCAAAATTTCCCTAAAGTTAGAGAAACTAATTTCCATTCTTTTATTTAACTGAAAGATTAAGTCTGTTATATAGTACAGATCATAATGTACCTACTTCACTTTTTAACTTTATCATTTTCTTTATACGACCTAAGAAAATATTTTACGATCATAAAAAAGAATACATTCTATCTTCTCGAAAAGCAAGATTGAAGATAACTTTTCTCTTCAAGATTAAAATTCAACAAATTTTTATCAGTTGAAATATTTTCATTTATAAATTAAGACATGTATAGTCTATTTTTAGATTGGATCGTTTATCATTATTTCCTGCTAACATCTATAATCTCTATATATGAAATTCAATACTGAGGACGATAACGGAACACTAATAGGGTAATCTTCCGTTTAAATGTCTGTCTTCCATGGCTATATCTCCTAACTACTAAATCATATTAAATAAAATTTGATGGGGATTAGTAAGTATTTGAAAGGTAGATATAATAGTCAGGTCAAATTTCAAAAAATAAAAATCTCTTTTCCTGTTAAGGTAATTCTGGAAATAAAGTCAGCATTAAATTATTCAAACAAACGTATTTAAAAAGCTACATTCTCTTTTTAGAAGTTATTTATTATTTTGAAAACATATTGAATATTTTTTAGAAAAACTAACAGGTTTGTAGTCATTTAAAAATACCAGAACAAACATTTACTCTAAGCTTTCTTAGCTTACAAACTAAACACGTTAAGCCAGCAGTTTATATACGTAGCATCTTTTGTTTTCTATTGAAATTCTAACAAAGCTATTAAAGGTAACGTTGAACATTAAAATGTATATGTAAAATGATTCAACTTACCTTAAAACCACAGAGACAATAGGTGGACTAATAACAATATCTTTTTCTTCAACTGATGATCCTGAAGTAGTATCAACAGCGACAATATTACGTGGATGAAGAAAAACTGGCACGTGAAGTCTTGACCTGGGATATAAAGGTCCATGTGGTACAAGAAGTGTCAAAGAATCGTCCGCTTTAACTTCTTTATAATCAGCCTTGTTAGGTACAAGAGGAATTTTCCCAAGTGGTGTGACAGGTTGTATTTGTACTCTAGGTCGACATCCACCCCCTGCTAAACTTTCTGTTTGGGTTCTTGGGATGCTTGGGAAAGAATCACTACTCATACCATTATCAGAGAGAACGACAGATCTAGGTTCTAACACTGAATAGGCAACTTGAACAAACTTGGGCGGTGTTTTAAAAATTTTTATCCGACCAGAAGCATCTGGGGGTTGAAGTGGAGGCCACCAGTCAGCAGGAATAGTAATTTGAGCTAGACAAACACCATCTTCTCCATCAGGACTACAAGTAGCAGTCAAAGGATTCTTGTCAGGTAATGTCGCGTGCAATAGAACACAAACACGTTGATGACGAGGAAGTAGTTGACGTCTTCCACCCGCTTCACTACCAGCATGAAAAAGTACCCGCAAAACTGGTAAATCACGTGACACACTTGTACCTACTAAATGTGCTGACATATCCAGATGCCTAGCACCTAGTTCCTGAGCATCGATCAATGCTGCATTTGATGGTGCAGTAATGTTCCGACGAGTTTCAGATTCAGGAAGAGCCTCCAGTAAATCCGGTACTATATAACGTGCTGGAACCGTTTGTTTTGTACTAAATGGTCCATACGTGGCTCTTACTGATGCAGGTTCACTTGTCTGGAAGACGGTAAATTTATCTATCGAGAGAATAGAACTAGACAATGTTGGTGATGATGCTCCTGGAGTTCCTAAAACACCTGGTATTCCATTCTGTCCATTTTCCCCGCGTGTTGAGGTATATTGTCGAGGTGTGTGTTTTAAGAAAAATCCACTATCTTTGTTTTCAAAGTGTACCTCTACTGATGATACAACATCTGTAACAAATGATACTATCATTAATTTCGATTCATTTTTTGTTTTTACTATGAGTCAATAATTATTCAATACAATAAAGTTAAAATTATTGAAAAAAGAATTGTTAGGTTTGAGAGATGTGATAATTATTTTTTATATTCATTGGAAATCAAAACTTTAATTATTTATAATTTATTTCATCAATGTTGCAATTCTAATCTAATTTATAAAAATTAGTACTTGATCCTTCATTATTTTTAAAGCATGAAAGAAATTGACAGTTGAATTTTACATGAATAACTTATTAGAGTTTATTATTTTTCATCAAATAAATCACTTAATAACCACGAAATTGAAAAAAAAATTAATTTAATTAAAATCTTGATTTAATAACAAGACCATTTTTTTTTTATGTTCTTAATTAATCTTTAGCATTTGTTTGAAAATATTTTTTAAAATGCTTTAAACTTTGCCAGGCAGCTTAATCTAACTGAATTAATCAGACTTGGTAAACTTTATTTTTAAAACAAAATCTAATCATTAAAATGAGAAGTGAGAATGTGATAAGCTCACAATACATGAAACATTCAGTATCATTTTTGTTCATTTTTGATCAACACAATTGAAACAACATTCTTATCCGATGAAGTGGTACACCACATAAATACTCAAGTAAATGTTGGTGATTTCTTTTATTTCATACCAAAAACCGGACAATCATACAGTAATGGGTGACGTTGAACAACTAGAATAGTTTCAGTTGGCACACGTCCAGTTCATACTAATGTACATATAGTACATTCAGAATATCTGCCAATGCTTCAAACCTCTTCAATATGTACTGTTGAATAATTTCTGCTCCAAGAATATAACCAAGTATCAAGTACTCGAAAATAAAAGGATAGGCAATAAAAATATGCAAGTAAGAAGAATAAAAATAATGCTTCAAGTAGTAACTTAATTGAAGCAGTTCCTGAAAACAATTAGTAGACAATTTTCACAAAAGAATAAAGTGCTGGAGAGGTAGTGAAAAAGTAATTTCAAAATTAATCATACGATTTTTCTCTATAAGATTAATGTACTTTGCATATGACAAACAAACATGATTAAAAAATAAAAATACATTAAATAATGTAATTGTCTGTAAATACTTATAGTTAATATTTATATTTTAGAGCTTTTCTCTTTTGTCTTAATCTCTCTAACAATTTTTGGACGGTTAAAGAAAATTAAATGGAATATTTTACAACAGATTCATGTATCATGTAAATTTATTTACTACCAAAAAAGTTGAAAATAAAAAAATCATTTTATTTTATGATATTACTGTAATCACCATTCGAAATAAAGGAGGAAGAAAACTAATCTTGAAAACTTGACATAAAAATATCAAGTGAATGTTCATATATGTTCGTATTGAGCTTACCGTTTTTAAGGACAAAATGATCAATAGTTCTCGAGGCTTTTATCTGTAGGGTAGTTAGTAGGGCATAAATGAAAGACATTATCTCACATTAATGAAGCTAGTAGGGCATAAAAAAATCTAGATACCAGAAAAACTAATTGAGAGTAATGAGGAATTATTTTAGTAATTAACGAATTACAAGAGACATTGGCGGATTTCCACTGTAATTTTAGAGAGGTGATTGTTAAAAAGATCTTTGCATTATCAGTAGTTATTAGAGAAGCTGGAAAATACTTTTAAATGTGACTATTACATTATTTCTTTGTTTATAGAATTGCAAGATTTACATAATGGTTAATGTTAAACAATTTTATTTTTTTATTATAGTATAAAAAGTGTCTGAATTTTTATTCTTTAAATATAAATATAAATTTTTATTTCTATGATCTAAAAATCTTATTAATTAATCATTGCCTCTATCTAAAACTATTGAACACATAATGATCTTCTTGAAATTCAAAGATAGTCAAAAATAAAAAGGTTTCAGTCAATTCATTGATTTGAAACTCGGAAAAGAAAAGTTATAAAGTAGTTTGTCACGTAGAATATTGGAGTTGTATCACTTATTTGCATATATTGATTTTTTTTCATACAAATATGATTTTTTCCTTCAAACATACTGTCACTTAGTCACGATGTTCAGAAAGCTAAAGCTTGAAGAGGAATATCTAAATTTGAAAATATAATTTGTGTCATGAATAGATTATATATGCTCTGCTCAACTAATTTCCATATTGTTATTATAAATTAATTATTTTATTACTTGATGTTTGCGTTTAATAGATAATTATTGCTCATTACTAATGTCGTTATTGTGATTATTAATGTAAAATTACTACTAATAGGACGAAAACACTTGAAATTTGCGATATTGATTGCTTTAAATAAAGCAGAAATTGACATTATTATTCATTAGCATTAGTAGCGATTGTTTATTATCGATGCAATCGATATTCAAATAGTCTTGTCTTGTTTGGCTTTGTGGTAATCATATTCATTATTGATTTAAATACTAGTACAGGATAGCAATAACTAAAGAGTACGCAGTAAAAGGGCATGTAATAAATTTTAAACATAACTGAGACTTTAGACTATAGGCTGTATTGTATGATACCTTGTGCAATTTAATACATTATTCACTCAGACTCCCTACGAATACAAAGTTACAGTTTCCAATCCAAAATTCATTATTCTCTATTCTGCTTGGTAAATAATATTTCCTAATATAGTGTTACTTCAAGAAAAACGAATAGAAGCTTAATTTTTTTATCAACATTTAATATATCTCAAATTGTTAATAGTTTTATACCTGCATATATACACAACTTCAAGATATCACATTTTATGTTTGTTTTTTATAAATTATATTATTTGCAGTGATCACAACATATATGGAAATTCTACGAATTTCATTGTAGAAGAGATCAGATAGCTGCCAGCGGTATTTCTTGTCCCCCAGAGGATTTTCTCTACCGAGTAAGTTGGTTCAATATTCAACAATATTCTTCGATGATCTTTATTGAAGAAAAAAATTATGCAATATTTAAACTTGATTATAGTAGGAAAATGGTAAACTTTGGTTTAAAAGCTGAATTCTTCTTGAATTCCATCAATACTTTTTATTCAATAATAAATGAAATTTCTTTTTAACTTTTAATTTTTTCAAATACCATGAAAATAACCATTTAGTTATCCACATACTAACTGACATTTATTATACATAATTTTAAGAATTAATAATTTAACAAGCTAAAGTCAAGCACAAGCTTCATCAGAGAATAGATGTACAGTAGCTAACCCTGAATAGAATATGATATTAACAAGCTCACAAGTTTAGCCATCAATTGTGATTCAGTTATAAAGGTAGTATTCGTAACAACAAGTATTCATTTTAGCATGAAGTTGAGGTTGCAATGACTTCCCCTGCTGTTTCCGAATCTAGACCTCTCGACATCCTGATAAGTATAATACAAGACTCTTGAATCACTGCTCTGACAAAGGTATAATTTCTTTTCTTCCAGGTTGTCTCGACTGGCTGTGAGGGTGATAAGTACCATACTTCAGGAAGAAGATAAGAGTATAGAGTGTGTCTGTAAAGTGAGGTCTAATTATCCGACAACTTTAGATAGGTAATGAAATATTTAGAAGAATTCTTTGTTAAAAATAGCTGATGTATTCCTAGACATGAAGAAGTTCAAGGTTTAATATTGAAGGAGGAAAAGGTATTGTTAAGAAATAGTTGAATGCACACTTGGAGTAGAATGTTGAAGTTGGAGGATTGAAAAAAAGTATCAAGATGATATCGAAATATAAAAAAGTTTTTATTTACAGAAAATTATCTCGATTGGAAATATAAAATGCATTTCATGCAGAAGAAACTTGAATATCTATCTTGCTCTAGGGGAGCTCTTTGTAAAGTGACCAAATAAAGGAGTTTATATTAAAAACGAAATAAAAAATTAATAACTAAGAAGCAAGCATGAAAAATCTTGATGTCATTGAAAAAAATATTTTAGTTGAAAGTTTAAATTATCTTTGAAACATAAAGACTTTGTGATTCAATGGAATAGACATTACTTCAAAACTAATTTGTTTATTAAGTTTAGAATAGTCTTAGGTAGAGTTAATTATACATATTCAAGATAGTACAAGATATTACTAAAGGGACTAATCTTTGTCTCTAAATCCCTTCGTCAAATACAAAGTTAGTCTTATCCAATCGCCAGCCACAGACAGTTGGTATTATCATCTTATTTTTATTCTTTCCCCAAATATTATCGACATCATACATAATTGGGTGATATTAAATATTAAAATTGATTGATAAAATATAAATGAAACTGGCCAATTTAAGAGACATTTTGACAAGTTAATTCAGAACTTTAGAAATAAAAAAGATGTAAATGTCTTTATCATTTTTACTAATTATTTGATCCGATTTTATTGAGCTCACAATAAGTCGAAATCTTATGACCAGTAATTCTATTTAATTGTATAAGCCAACCTAGGAAGCTTTGCAATGATATTTTTATTTTATTTCAATAGGTACTCTAGCATTAGCTTGATAATCTGAATTTGATGATGCATATAGATAAAAGATATCATATTTAATGTAGTGTGATATAAAAAAACTAAGCAGATTTGTAGTCTGTACTACTAGATTAGTTGCAAATAGCCACTGAATACAAAACGGTGGAGGGTATCTATAGTAGCACTGAGCTGGAGTAAGCAAATCGATAGATAAAGCAATCCGGAAGATAAATAAATTGCTAACATGAAGGAAACATTAACCTTTTTCATAGTAAATTTGAATTATTCAGACCAATCATACGCAAATTAAAATATAATTTAAAGTTTATAGGTAATTAAAAAATTTGAAATAATGACTAGCTTATAAAATTTTTTATTCCTTTTTTTGTTTATATGTACTATTTAAAAATTAAATGATTAATTTTTTATCAGTTCATCTAATTGAACATTTTGCACGATATTTTTAGCATTTTAAAATGTTTTTAAAAGTATTAACAAGTATAAAAGTATGTAAATCGAATTTTC